GAATGCAGCTTCCAAAAGACAAAAAATAGCCAAATAATATTTTATATATTTGATACAATCACACCAGCGTGATTAAATCGCTCAGCACCTCATATCATCAGCTGCTAAATTCAAATCTGCGTTCGTTCGTTGGCGCTGAGCCAGAGACAGACGTGTTTTTACTGCACTGCACATTATAACCAATCACACACAATGTTGTTGAGCTTATGAGTGCAATGACCAATCAGAGGTGTTCAGATGAGTCATCACACCTTCACTCGCTCGCTGACTGAATACCTCTTTCTGGCGAATTCTCTCGTTAGAAACAACAAAGTGCAAATGTGTGTATAAATAAGATATTCATTTCACAGTGTAAACAGCTTCAGTGATTTTAATGGGATTTTTGAGAAGGCTTGAATAGTCTGTCAGTGAAAATGTTCTTTGATAATGTAAATGTTCTTTGCTCTCTTTCTGTACAATGAAAGTATTATGATTAGTAGCCTAACTTACAATGTTTTTATTCACAGTAACTTTCAATGTTAAATTCACATTAAATATAAAGTCATTCGCATTAAAACTATGTTATGGCATGACACCCATATCTGTTATTTATATAAACAGACAGGTTTCTATGCATAGTGCCCCTTTGTCATCTTCCTAGAGGATCTAGCGGCCGGATGCTACATGGGGGGCACCGCTCTCCTGCGTGGTGCTCGACACGCCAGCCTCGACGATGACTCAGCGCGGGGTTGAGCTGGTGTGGAGGACGCAGGAGGGTGCCCACGGCGACGAGCAGGCTGAGACACGGCCCGCGATGGAACGGTGGCAGCTGGAAGATCACGACGGGGTAAGATGTGCTGTATGGCCTCAGTCTGCTGTTGTACTGCCGAGAACTGCTGGGCACAGCCCTCGACAGTGTCGCTGCACAGGCCAGCCTGGGAGATGGGAGCGTCAAGAAAGCGCACTTTGTCAACGTCTCTCATCTCAACCAGGCTGTGCCAGAGATGGTGGTCCTGGACCACCAGAGTGGACATTGCCTTCCAGAGGGACCGCATCGTGACTTCCGTCGCCCGGAGGGTGAAGTCAGTTGCCGTGCACAGCTCCTTCATCAACCTCAGGTCGGTACTACCCTCGTGCATTTGTTAAGGCCTTGGCTTGGTGAACTTGCAGGATCGCCATGGCATGCAGGGCAGAGGCAGCTTGGCCCGCAGCACTGTAAGCTTTGGCAGCGATAGCCACCGACAGCTTACAGGCTATGGACAGGAGATGCTGACAATTCCTACAAGTGGCGGCATTTTGCGGGCACAAGTGCACCGTAATCGCTCTCTCCACCTGGGGATTGTTCAGGTTGTCTAGCCGCCCCGCCATCGAGAGTAGTGAGGACGGAGGAAGGAGACGAGCGGCTTCTGGCCATAAAAGGGGCCGTCCACGACTACGTCACTTCCTAATGCATCTCCTGGAAGAAAGGAACCAGAGCAGAACGCGGTTGTGAGCCGCACTCTATACCGAGAAACCAATCGTCCAGCCTCAAGCACTCAGGGCTGGGCGGTGTATTCACCTCCAACCTGATGCTTACAGCTGCCCGGGCAAGCACGGCCGTCAACTCTGGGTCCGATTTGGCAGTGGTGACAACACCCGAGGGGGGCAGCTCCGCCGAATCTTCATCCACTAGCCCATCCCGCCCATCCCCCGATGCTGCAATCGACATCTGATCCCCCGGCAGCACACCAAATGAAATGCCATAAGACAGATAAGACAGCCCAGCAGAATCACCCAGCAGTAGTAATATATATTGTCATATAGGCTACATTACATATGACAATATACATAAACTGTATATATGAGTGCATGTTGCAGTGTTTTAGTGCAAATATTTTCTACTTGTGCTTTAGTTTATGTACTAATCTAGTTTAAATGTATGCAGATGCGTCATGCCCGTTCAAAGTATGGGGGTACGTGCCCCCTCAGATTTTTGAGCCAAGTGGATTTTGAATGCAGCTTCCAAAAGACAAAAAATAGCCAAATAATATTTTATATATTTGATACAATCACACCAGCGTGATTAAATCGCTCAGCACCTCATATCATCAGCTGCTAAATTCAAATCTGCGTTCGTTCGTTGGCGCTGAGCCAGAGACAGACGTGTTTTTACTGCACTGCACATTATAACCAATCACACACAATGTTGTTGAGCTTATGAGTGCAATGACCAATCAGAGGTGTTCAGATGAGTCATCACACCTTCACTCGCTCGCTGACTGAATACCTCTTTCTGGCGAATTCTCTCGTTAGAAACAACAAAGTGCAAATGTGTGTATAAATAAGATATTCATTTCACAGTGTAAACAGCTTCAGTGATTTTAATGGGATTTTTGAGAAGGCTTGAATAGTCTGTCAGTGAAAATGTTCTTTGATAATGTAAATGTTCTTTGCTCTCTTTCTGTACAATGAAAGTATTATGATTAGTAGCCTAACTTACAATGTTTTTATTCACAGTAACTTTCAATGTTAAATTCACATTAAATATAAAGTCATTCGCATTAAAACTATGTTATGGCATGACACCCATATCTGTTATTTATATAAACAGACAGGTTTCTATGCATAGTTAATAGACTACATTATTTGGTTACTTTGACCATCGCCCACTATAGATCAACTAACATAGATGAGAAGCAAGATATCATGATATAGTTAATGCGTTTGGGAATGTTTCGAATAAAAAGGAAAAAATAAATAAATAAAACATAAGAACATAAGTGCTATTGTGGCTGCTGTGTGTCACATGACTAGCCAATTTTCATTGGCGTTTTCTCTTAAAATCAGAGGTGATTGGGCTCCCAAGTAGACCCCAAAATGTCATCACAACATAACTCATAGTGACCGACAGATAGGGAACATGTGTTGTCTTCAGAATGGCAGGTGGCATTCCTGATATCAGTATCTCTCAGTCTGGCCCTCAGGGCATTTCCTGCAGTGTTTACTGTCTGCTCTTAGAGAACATCGCCAGTTTGTTCATTTTGGGGAAAAAGGATTTAAATAAGCGCAGTCACATAACCCAAGCTGAAATTGGTTTGTCTCATGAATATCAATTACAACATGAATGGATGGTTTAATATTACTTTAAAACTGAGCTAATTAATATTCATGAGTGTTATGATATTTATGATAATATTATTCACATAATATTCACAAATGTTCATTCATATTTGTGATTTTTCATCTGTGGATGTGGAAACTTCAACATTATTGAGCAGTTACTTTAAGAAAGTAAACACAATTGTCATTTGGCCATGGGTTTTCAAGTCAGCACTGTGATTCAAACACGTGTGGTGCATTTTAAAAGAGTAAGACTGTAAACTAAAGGAGACCGTGATGCAATTTAGTTGCTGTGTTGGTTTATTTAATAACTCACACATTAAGAGGTCTAGTTCACTTTGTAATTGCTTTTGAGAGATTAATATGAAATAATATATTCATCTTTGATATGTGACTTCACTTGTCTGGGGTGCTGTGTTTGATTCATGATCTTTGCTAGACCCAGTGCATTAGGCTTAAGAAATGAGCTGTGCCTAGATTTATCGGACAAGCAATATGACTCAAGTCTGACAGAGATTTGGCAAGGCAAAAATGTTTAGAAAATAGATAAAAACTAGTGCAATTGTACATTACAGTCTGAAGAGTGTGGGGGGATTTCACTTAGAAAGAATTGTGCCAACTGATTTATTTGTGTTATGATCCCAGCCTGTGTTCCTTTGTCTTTTGTTTGTGGACTCTAATTTTGAAGTGTTTCTGTTCCCTATTGTTTCCTTGCTCCCTTCCTAAATGAATGCATTTATGAGATGATTTTAGTAATTGAAATAAACCAGTTTATGGAGATCCTTGGCAGGAAAAAATGGACATACTAACTTGTGCCCACGTTTTATTAATGAGTTTCCTCGTTGGGATAGTTCACCCAAAAATGAAAATTCTGTCATTAATTACTCACCCTCATGTCGTTCCAAACCCATAAGACCATTGTAATCTTTGGAACACAAACTATGATATTTTTGATGAAATCCGAGAGCTTTCTGACCCTGCATAGACAGCAACGGAACTACCACGTTCAAAGCCCAGAAACGTAGTAAGGACATCGATAAAATGTCTCCACCACCTCCTATCACTTCTATAACAGCTGATGATTTTGCCACATTCTTCACAGACAAAAACAGCTTTATTTATTCCTTCTCTTTCTAGCTTGTACTTATTTGAACAATGTCTAGAAACTTGGTATTACAAGCACTTCCTGTATCTGTTTGCCTCTTTAAGAAGAATCGCTTTATGTATCCCCAAATTGTAAGTCGCTTTGGATAAAAGCGTCTGCAAAATGACTAAATGTAAATGTAAAATAGTCCATGTGACATCAGCGGTCCAGCCGTAATTTTATGAAGCTACAAGAATACTTTTTGTGTGCAAAAAAAAATAAAAAAATAACGACTTTATTTAACAATTCTTCTCTTCCGCGTCTGTCTCTGTCACCATTCATGAGTTTACCACAATCTATGCGTGTGATCTTGCTGACACAGGGCCGGCATTACGGGTTTGGAACAACATGAGGGTGAGTAATTAATGACAGCATTTTCATTTTTGGGTGAACTATCCCTTTAAACAGTGTCCATATTGTACTAATTCATTCCCTCATTTTAATTTAGTAAAATCATGTAACAAATTCTTAATTCATGGCCACAATATCTTGTTTTTTTGCTGCATATGTCATAACCCTTGGTCTTATAATATGAGATAAACAAAAGATCAGGAATTAGAGTCAAAAAATTAAACCAATAAATAAATTAAATAGGATGGATAAAATACTACATATTTTCATGAAAACCAGAAAATTTAAACAGCAAATGGTGTGAATAAGAATGCTGAAATTGCATGCAAATTTAATTATTACTGCATCTAAAAATTGTATTGAGTTCCAATAATGTTAAAATAAAAATTATTTATTTTTCTTTCTTTGTCTGTCTATCCTTTTGAAGGTATTTTGTGTGTGTAGCGGTGCTGATTTACTTCCTCCCCCTCCTGGTGATGGGCTGTGCTTACCTGGTGGTGGGTTTGACTCTGTGGGCCAGTGAGATCCCAGGAGATTCATCTGACCGTTACCAAGAGCAGCTGACCGCCAAACGCAAGGTCTTCATCACATCATCCTCTTGCTCCTCCTTTTTTCATCATCTTTTAAGCCCATGACATTTGCCTACACACACAGTCCAGGTCAGACACCGAACTCGGAGTTAACAAAGCAGACAGAGTTCACAACGCAAGGGGAGGAGTGTCAGACAAGGCCATATGAAATAATCACTATGAAACTCACCCGCAGTGAGAAGGTCCATCTGCTTCTTTCATCTGTATTCTCTGTGTGTGTGTGTATGTGTCTGCCTCATTCACCACTCTTGAAGGAAATGAAGTCAAGATATGCAGTTTTCTCTCCAATATCTCTTTTACATACCATTGCTATCATTATGTCTTACCATCTTCCTCTTCTTCCTCACACAAAATATCTTAAACTATTTTTGAGCTCACATCGTTAGTACTTATGATGACACAATGTGACATACTACCTCTGAGCGCTTGTATGTTCCTGTCTTCTGTCTGAGCTTCATAATCATCAAAAAGCCTCTGACAGTCTGCTGGTGACTGAGTGATCACTGATTTGCTACTACATGCTCTGGCTTCTGGCAGTGTGTCATTGTGGTTTTCATGCTGATTTCATGCCCACTTCAAGCTGTAAGTTGATCAGGAATCTCCAGTGTTGTAGAACTAGAGTAGTTTAAGGCAACTGTCCTACCTTTCACAGACCTAGAATAGTCGGGACAGGTGCAGCTTATTGACAGCAGTCCAAAGGCAGCTTTTTCTCTAGTAGGACAATAAACAAAAAACAAGAAAGTCCAAACAGTGAAAAATAAGATGCATTTGCTGAAAAATAAGATGTTATTTGAAGATGCACTCAGTAATAAAAAAAAAAATGTAATAGTGTAATTATTTCAATTACTTTTTATAATGTAACTAATTACATTTCTAAATTTCTAAAGAATGTTTTCAACTGTTAATAATTTTCAAACAAGCAGGGTTAACCTTACAGTAGTACTCAACACTGATTACTGTCAGACTTATTCAGATTATAATAATTATAATAAGCTTATAATAATTTCATTTTAAAGCACACAAAACGTCTCAGGTTACTTGTGTAACCATGGTTCCCTGAACAAACGAGAGCGGAGCTTTTTTTCCCCTTGGAAAACACGCTCGCAGTGCACGCCGATTGCCCCCTCGGAGACATCGCGTGCGTGCTCTTTGCCCAAACAAACAACACATAGATCGTGTGTGTCATCTGATGTCAAATAGCGATGACACGGATGCACACACCTTCTAAATGCTCTGCTAGTGCTCGCCATAATAAATAGAGATAGCTCTTACTTTTTTCTTGGGAATGCACGCTTCAAACAAAACAGTCAATGAAGACGAAGAACAGAATGATGTGTGCTCCCGGTGCCTATTTATACTATAGTCGCACCGGTAGTGACGTCATGGCTGTCGCCGGCCAACGAGTTGGTGTTTTTTCAATGTATGCTTCAGACACGGGTCACGACGAGGCGTTCCCCATAGCGACCCCTAGAGGACGCAGTTCGAAGTTCCCATGAAAGGAAATCAGATATTAGCACCTCTTTTTACTTTGAGATCATTCTGAGGTTAAATACAGACTAAAATCATAACAAGAAATAGTTTAATAGCTATGATACTGTTGTTAAAATCATGTCTTTGCATAGAACGGAAGCACTGGCATCTAACAATGCCTTGGAAAAAAACAGTTAAACTTAAAAAATAAAGCATATACATAAACACAAATAGGAAATAAAACTGTTATCGAATAAGCATATGTCCTAAACTCCTGAAACATTGGTGTCTCATATTTTAGAGCAGTCAATGCAATTTGGGAAAGAAATCAATTGAGGGGACATAGTTTCTGCCAATCTCATGTTAATCTTGAGTACTCCTTACTCAAGGCATTGGTTAAACCAATGTGTCTATGTTGGGCTGACACATTATTACACTTTTTTAAGGGGAATTCAATTGTCTCTTCACAATACAGTAAGCTGCAGAAAACATTTTATCATAGAAACCTTAAAATATAATTAATGTAATTTAAGCTATTTCTGAAATATATATTTGGCTCTTTGAAAAATGGCTCCTGCACAATTCATATTTTTACCTCTATACTTAATACATTTTAATGTGATTTACAATGACACGTTTGCATTCTGCTTGCTGGTGGTAAATTAAGACCATTGAACCACCTAAAAGCTGTCAAGAAAATTATTAGGGAACATTATGTCTGTCAGCATTCTGCAAGTTTTCATACAATGTGGGCAGCATGCAAAGCCTAGGAAATCAGCTTGAATTACATATATTTTATTTATAAGCATAAAGTATAACCAATCTTCTTGTTCGACCTTCAGGTGGTGAAGATGATGATTGTGGTGGTATGTACATTCGCTCTTTGTTGGCTCCCCTATCACGTCTATTTCCTGATTCACCAGTTCTACCCGCACCTGTTTGAGCATCCCTTCATTCAGCAGGTCTATCTGACTATCATGTGGCTGGCAATGAGTTCCACTATGTACAACCCCATTATCTACTGCTGCCTTAATGACAGGTAATTTCATCCTGGAGTGAAAACACAGTAATTGACGCACACACAGGCACATCTAGCTCTTTCCAGAGTCCCTGTAATATTCACTATAATATCATGATTGTTCAAAATGATCCATCTTTTTGTAACATAAAATACAGTCCAATGCTGTGATGTATTATTCGCTAATGTATCCTGGTTTTACTGCCTCACTCAGATACTGAAAATCCATCACAAAAGCCTTGGAAAAACAACAAAGCTTTAATATCCTCTAGTCAGTTTTTCAACTTTAAACCCATATCATTATCTGCCTATTCATCTCTTACATTTCTAAACATTTCCTCAGGTTCCGTGCGGGATTTAAGCAAGCATTCCGCTGCTGTCCGTGCATCCCTGAGGGATCCTACGAGGGTCTAGAGCTCAAGTCCACCCGGTACATTCAAACCCAGACCAGTTTGTACAGGGCCAGTCGAATGGAGACCACTGTGTCCTGCGTGATGCAGCCATGTGAAGATGGCCAAAAGGTCACGTTTGGTAGCATCAGAGGGGCCGCAGGGAGACCGGCAGTTCACAGCCCCTCCAGGGAGTTCGCATCCAATGGCTCGTCCTCTCGCAGCATCTCCAAAACCATGTCAGAGACTTCCAGCTTTTACTCCAGTAATAACCTACAAGAATGAGAGTGCAGAAGCATGAGTCAAGGAGACCGAATGCCACTACGTTTGCGGAGATGTAATCGTTTGAAGAATCGTCATCTCCCCCTCCCAAGTGTGTAAAACCTGAGGATTACCTTGAGTGTGTGCAGATGTGTGATTTAGTTGGATGAGTACACACAAGCTAAGAGTTTTTAATTTCAAACGATCCTTCATCTTTCATCCGTGTCCTATTCTATTCATGAGGTTTATAATTATGATTAGAGGAACTTTTACATTGATTTTTTGGGAAAGGTTTTCTTATCGTAGTGATGTAAATGACATGTAAATGACATGTAAATGATCCTGCAATCACTGAAGACATTTTAAAAGTTTATATTAATGGACATATGATGCAGTGGAACAATCAGTCAGAATACTGTAAATATTGAATATGACCGCTTATACTGGTCTCTCATCTGGCTAACAACAATCCGACTATAGTAGGAAAAGGAATAAGTTAAGAAATATCAATAAAAGTACCCCTCTTATTCCCTTGAGTCTCTAACAATAGCTCACTTGGCTTAAATGATACCTGAGCACATGTAATTTCTTCAGTGCTTTATCTGCAGGTGGGAGATTATACTATTGCAAATGCCTTGGTGTCTTCACGGTCAGTTAGAGCCACGATCCGGCCTGTGAAATGAAAATGAACAATGTCAGTTGCCAATATCAACACCTTGTAGCTACACAGGCAAATATAAAGAATGTTATTAAATTACTTTTCAAGGCGTGCCTGGAAACACAAATGCATGGTGGTGAAAGCTTTGAATGCCTGTCCTGATTTTGTGTGTCCTGTCCTGAAGAATAGCTGTGGGGGAAAAAATGTGATGTGCAGAGAATTTTGTACTAGTTTTCTTTTGACTTCTTTTTTTCTCTCCCTGTCTGCTTACCTTCATTTTTTTTTTTATCATGTTTTTTTTTTCATAATTGACCCCTTCACTAAGCCCCGCCCTACAGGTACCAGTTGTGATTTTGGTGTCCCATTTTGAGCTGCACCTCTGCAGTGTGTAGCCTATATGTCTCTGGTTGGACACAACAGTTGCTGAGAATGGTCAGTAGGCGGGGCTTAGCCAAGTGCCAGTTCTGTAGTTATTCTGTTGTACAATCATTCACTCACGCGCACACTGGACCCCTCACACTGGACAAGGCCAGAGTAAAATTAGCTCTTGAGGAACCTCCCTTGATACAGTCACAGCAATATGATACTGAGGTACACAGGATTATGGGACAAAAGGGGAGGATGAGAGACGGTGGGTTGAAGTGACCACCTGCTGCTGTTCTTGACTGGGATTGTGGCAGTGGTGTCCGTTTTCCAAAACGGAGGCCCATGCGACTGGCATGTTTGTGGGTCTGAGCTTTCATTGGTCACACAGTGGCAGCAGGCTTGTTATGGTGCAATATGTTCAGAATATTTCGGACGGTAAATGACTGTGATCTGAAAGTGCCTGACTGTTTGGCACAAGCAGACAGCTCATTCCAGGAATAAATTAACCACACTACTCTGTTCCTGATCTTTTTTAGAAATTCTGAACTCTCTGTGATGCTTATGCAGAATTGCATCTTCCTTGCATCTGCCACACTATACACTACCGGTCAAACGTTTGGAATAATTTGTTTTTATGTTTTTTTAAAGAAGTCTCTTATGCTCACCAAAGTTGCACCAAATCATTATTTTAGATTTCTGAAGGATCAGCTGACACCGAAGACTGGAGAAAAAAATCAGCTTTGCCATCACATATAAAAATAGACAACAGTTTGTTTAAATTGTAATAATAGTACTGTTTTTATTGTATGTTTTATCAAACACATGCAGCCTTGGTGAGCATAAGAGACTTCTTTCAAAAACATAAAAATATTTTATTCCAATATCTTTCTTTAATTATGACCGGTAGTATACATATCTGCACCCAAAAGGGAAAATTTTGTCAATGTTTATGGTCATGTCATTCCAAACCTTTATGGAATTTAAACCCTTATGGTTTCTTCTGTAGAATGGAAAATAAGATCTTTTGAAGAATATTTCAGCTGTTTTTGCCCATACAAATAAATGTCTCTCAATACCAGAACCCCATTTTTCATAATATTTTAGTTTGTGATCCACAGATAAAAAGCAAGTCATACAGGTTTGGAACAACATGAGGGCGAGTAAACGATGATGGAATTTTCATTTTTGGGTAAGCGATCCCTTTAAGATGAACATAAAGAATGTCTGAATGTATGAGAAAGGCATTATAGATGATCGCATACACACACACACACACACACACAAAAAAAATTGTTCAATTGACTCATCCACCCTCCAGCATTCCTCACATCCCTCCCATGGCCATTCTGCATGGCTGCTTAATTTCACTCAAAGTTATCATTCATGTTCGTACGTAAACATAGTGAGTGTGAGTGAGTGTGTGCGTGTTTAAACATACCTCTACATGAGTCCCGCTGGTATAGTTCAGTTATTCAGAAAAAAAAAAAAAGATGTGCTTTGATTTCCATCCAGCACAGGATGGAAAAAAATTAAAGGATGGACTTGAAATGTCCTATAAGACTCTGATCTCAACTACACTTTCATTAGTTACATTAAAGGGGTCATGATATCATTTTTTATAAATGTCAGTTTTTTGTTTCTTGCATCAAGCACAGTCATAATTTACTTATGACGATCTACCTTTTCTCTAACATTTTGAATTTATCAAGCCATTTTGCTGCTGTATCTTTAGGTTTTCTGTGTATGCCTCTTCTTTTTTGTGTGAAAAGAGTACCAGCGCTTACTTGTGTGTTGGTGATTTGTTGTCTGATAGAGTTGCCGCTGCTCCATCTTTCAGTAAAACTCTTAGAAAAAGCCTGCATTACAATGTGACAGGTTTGCAAAACAACATCTGCGCTCTTATAAAAGTAAGGTCAGACTGAAATGATTGGGACCTTGGTAAAATATAACTTCAGTTCCTTTAGAAGGCCATGCCGAATCTCAGATGCCACCCCACATCTTTTATCATACAATTTATTTCTTTTATCATTCTTTTTTTATCCTTTTAGTTATTTTCAACATATACCCCCAGTTTCACAGACAAGGCTTAAGCCTAGTCCTAGACTAAAATGTAAATATGAGCCGTTTCAACTGAAAGAAACTTGCACTGACTGATCTTAAAACATGTCAGTGTTAACCAGACATTATTATATAACAAAACGGTGTAGAGATCATTATTTTATGTATATGTAAACAGATAAAATGTAATTAAACTGTTTGAAAGTACATCAACAACGGATCTGTTAAGAATATAATTGTTAATGACTTGTTAATGAAAGTTTAACCTTACGTTGGCTGTTAATGAGTTTACCAAGCTAAATAGTATTATGTCAATATTTCTTAAATGCTTTTGGCAGTGGTTTCCCAAATATGTGTTTGTATTATTGTTAAATAGTTACTTTATTATGTTGTATGACTGAACATGCATCAACAAAATGAACCAGATATGGCTAAACCAAACTTTCAGTATACCAGGCCAAGCTGTAACTATGGCCATCCACCTTGAGCTGTTGAACTGTGTTGAGCTGGGTTTGCTCTTATTTATGTATGCTTTTGTAAATGATTTTTTTTTTATAAATGTCAGTTTTTTGTTTCTTGCATCAAGCACAGTCATAATTTACTTATGACGATCTACCTTTTCTCTAACATTTTGAATTTATCAAGCCATTTTGCTGCTGTATCTTTAGGTTTTCTGTGTATGCCTCTTCTTTTTTGTGTGAAAAGAGTACCAGCGCTTACTTGTGTGTTGGTGATTTGTTGTCTGATAGAGTTGCCGCTGCTCCATCTTTCAGTAAAACTCTTAGAAAAAGCCTGCATTACAATGTGACAGGTTTGCAAAACAACATCTGCGCTCTTATAAAAGTAAGGTCAGACTGAAATGATTGGGACCTTGGTAAAATATAACTTCAGTTCCTTTAGAAGGCCATGCCGAATCTCAGATGCCACCCCACATCTTTTATCATACAATTTATTTCTTTTATCATTCTTTTTTTATCCTTTTAGTTATTTTCAACATATACCCCCAGTTTCACAGACAAGGCTTAAGCCTAGTCCTAGACTAAAATGTAAATATGAGCCGTTTCAACTGAAAGAAACTTGCACTGACTGATCTTAAAACATGTCAGTGTTAACCAGACATTATTATATAACAAAACGGTGTAGAGATCATTATTTTATGTATATGTAAACAGATAAAATGTAATTAAACTGTTTGAAAGTACATCAACAACGGATCTGTTAAGAATATAATTGTTAATGACTTGTTAATGAAAGTTTAACCTTACGTTGGCTGTTAATGAGTTTACCAAGCTAAATAGTATTATGTAAATATTTCTTAAATGCTTTTGGCAGTGGTTTCCCAAATATGTGTTTGTATTATTGTTAAATAGTTACTTTATTATGTTGTATGACTGAACATGCATCAACAAAATGAACCAGATATGGCTAAACCAAACTTTCAGTATACCAGGCCAAGCTGTAACTATGGCCATCCACCTTGAGCTGTTGAACTGTGTTGAGCTGGGTTTGCTCTTATTTATGTATGCTTTTGTAAATGATTTTGTATAAATATGCTTCTGTATGCTTTATCTAAAATATCTGTATTCAGGCCTGTGTGTGCTCTGAAGGGAAGAGTTTGAACATTTCCATTTGGCATTAGAAGTCATGGAGCAAATCAAGCAGGTTCAGCTAGTAAAGATAGATCACATTAATCATTTGTGACACGCAAAATGAGCCATTGAAGTTAATAAGCAGAGAGAAAGACAAAAGTCTGTGTCTCAGAGTATGCTATCAATGCCTTGTTGAAATTCCACTCAGTTTGTCTGGTCAAATGTTGAGTTGTGCCCCATCTGCAGCAGGGTTGATCTTTGTTGCTCCTATGAAAGCTGTCAAAAAGAGTTACTCTAAATCAATCTGTTTTGCCGCCCTCTTTCTTAAAGGGGTGGTTCATTGCGATTTCACTTTTTTAACATTAGTTAGTGTGTAATGTTGCTGTTTGAGCATAAACAATATCTGCAAAGTTACGAAGCTGAAAGTTCAATGCAAACGGAGATATCGTCTTTTAAAATTCTGGCAGTTTAATGCCTACAAAAACGGCTGGTAGGGACTACAACTACTTCCCGGGTTCGTGACATCACAAACCCAGACGCGCACTAGAGGCGGTTTAGCCAATCACAACACACTGGGCTAGCTAACCAATCAGAGCCCATCGCCGATTTCTGAGGGAGGTGCTTCATAAAAGAAGGAAATGATCAGGGTGTTTCTGAGAGAAGGGACAAAGAGGTGTGGAATAAAGGTAAATTATGTGAAATATAATGTGTTTTTTTAAAAACGAAGCATTAACACATGTTAGACTGCACCCAATCAAGCCTAGAAAAAAACCAGTGAACCACCCCTTTAAGAAGTTTTTGGAGTCTTGTGGCGAATCTCTGAAGAATTCATTGTTATATATTCAGTGCTGTAGTTGACTTTGTGTTCCGCTAAAATTATTAATTTTAAATATACATTTTCAAGTTTTATTTAGTATTATATTTTTATTATTTTCAAATAAATGGTTTCTACATGTTTATTGAATTAAAAATCACATTTCTAATTCAGTTTTTAGGGATGCACAGTATATTTACATTTCATCTAATGCTCACTTTTAAAAATACTAATAATTTAATAAAAAATCTAATGTAATCTTTAGAAAACCTCAAAATGAATATTGATTTTTCATATTATATATTATAATGTTGTGAAAAAAAAAAATATATATACTTCTAGCATCTGCCATTTATCAGTTTTTAGCCATATAACATAAAAATAATCATTGGCTTTTCTTTATTAGAATTTTAATATCAGTGCATCCATACTAATTTTATGCATTAAGCTAAGAACTTCTTCGAAACTATTAGGGACGACAGACGTTTAATTATTGAGTTGAGTAAAAAAAAAGTTTTAGCATGTGAGGAAAAGCAATGAGACTGAGAAAACCAAAACAAAATAAATAGCTCAGACTTGATAGACAGGTAAAAACTGACTAAATAAAACTATCAATGGACCGAATCATGGTCAATGGAGTGAATGAGGGAGAAAGATAAAATAGAAACAGAGATCTCTTGGGGCTTTACAAAGATGAAGCAAAGTCTAATTATGTCTGGTCTTTACCACTCATGGAAGCAGTAAAAGTACAGAGGGCATGATTGACAGCTAGGCTACAAGATGATACATGGGATGTTCTGCTAATAATAATGAACTCAAAGAGTTCAGAGGATCTTGAAGAAAGTCAGGGACTTTATATGAGGATTTTTCTTGCAATTTATTGAGGTTGCCACTTCAAGGATGGTTCTGAATTCTAACAGTGTTTACATTCTTTTACCTGATCCTTTTGTGGAATAGCAAGAGTGGAGGACGGTGGTCTTCCACTAGAGTTTTGGAGTCAGTGCCTCTATCCAACTCTCATAGCCTTGTAGATGCTAAACAGAAAAAATATGGATTTTAAACCTAAGCAGAACAGGTCTAGACATGTCAACATCTTTCAAGATAAAAAAAAATAAAAACATAAAATAAAATAAAGGTAACACTTTATTTTGATGGTCCCTTTTGAACATTCTGTTGACAATAAGTAATGTTGCACCTACATGTCTACTAACTCTCATCAGAGTATTAGTTGACTGTTTGCTTAATATCCGCTAACTCTTTATTGTCATGGTCTCACAACAGACATTCTACTGACTATAAGTAACTTTGCAAGTACGTCAACTTATTCTAACCCTAACCCTACCAGTCTACTAATACTCAACTAATACTCTAATGAGAGTTAGACATGTAGGTGCAACATTACTTATAGTCAACAGAATGTGTTAAAGGGACCATCAAAATAAAGTGAAAACAATAGAAGACCTCTTAAAACATTTGTGAACTCACACTTTCAAATCAGTACCTGAATACAAATTGTCTTTCTAAAGCCTGTCTAGTTGTTAAATTGTGAAATGTGTAGTTGTTCCATTTAAAAGGTGTTACAATTCATCACTGAACAATAATGTTATTATTTCCCTCGGTGTGCCATTTTAAAATGTTTGTATTGGAAAACCAGTCGCTTATGTCCCTTTAAGGTGTTTAGTCAAGGCAGAGTGAAATGATATTGTAAGTCAGAGTATAAATATGTTACCTGCATTCAAAGAATAAACAAAAACCCCTATTCATTGTTTTGTTTTGTTTTTAAATCAAAAGTAGCCGTCTCAACTGCATTTGAGAGTGTGCTGAGCAGTGAGATCCAAACTGGTCATCATAAAACCATCCTCTTTTTGTTTGTTATGCCTAGAAACGAATATCAGACGAATGAGTGTGTGCTGTGTTTTTTCTGTTCGTATACTGACATTTTTCTCTTCTGTCTCTTCTCCTTCTCACAAATCAAGGCAGGCTGAATCAGTGCTGACGCTAGAGGTTCCAGTGACCATGTCAATTTCAGGAATGAACATGCATCAGGCATAAAAACACGCATAAGACTGTCCAAACATTGAGCAATTGCAGTTTAAACATATACGTATAATGAATATTGAACCACTAACTCATAATAGCCCTCGTTGATCCAAAATATTTAACATGCATTTGAGTTATTATATCTCATATGCTACCATTATCTAAATAAATCCAAAATAGAGAGCAGAGCTAGAGCAACCTTCTAAGTTGTGGTTCAAACCCTCCGGACACCGGGTTTGTCAGAAGTGAAATAGCAAGAGGGAGAAAAAACAAAAAAGACTCGAGCTGCCCGGGTGCCCCTCTGGTTCCTCCTTCCTGACAGCCTTTTTCTGCAGTTTCCCATCAAGCTCTCCACACGTGATTAAATAATAACAACAACAATGTGTTTGGCCTGCAGCAAACACATTGGATATGACAAATTAGATTGCCTCTTGTTGACAGGGCATGTGGAATAAGGAGGAGTGTGCTGGTGATTTTTCTATTGTAGACATGTAAGAATAGCTGTTTCTCTGTTTTATATTGTGGATTTGTTTCTCTATCCTCTCTATCCTTCTTTCGCATTTGTATTAGATTTCATGTCCCACATTGCACTGTCCTTGGTATTGCACTGTTAATCTCTCACTCATCTGGATTCAAACAGCATTTCTATCCTTAAAGGGGTCATATGATGCTGCTAAAAAGAACATTATTTTAAGAATATCTCTTTGGATTTGAGACTTTAGTCTTTGCAACTTTACAGATCTTCTTTATGCACCAAGAGCTTGTAACACTCCAAAGAGAAAGGAAAAATTGAAATCGCATCATATGACCCCTTTAATCTAATGCTAACATCGTGTTGTGGGGAAACTTAAAGGTCAAGCTGAAATTCAGCAACAAACAGCAGCTTGCTAATCAATCTCATCATTAGAAAAGAAATTAAACAATTATTTTTTCATCCTCAGAATGGATCCAGATTCAGCCTAATTTTAGATTTAGACTTAGAAGGTTTGTTGTAAAATTATGTGACGATCCCAAAGCATGGAGCTGCTGAAGATCAAAGCTAGTTTCACAAATACTTATGTTCCAGAACAGCTAATGAGCTGCATCCATAGGCATCGTATACTGTACACTGCAACGACAAAAAGACTGTTCCGAATGGTAATCTACCCTCAGACAGCTTGTTTGGCCAGAATCTAAGGCAGCAGGGCATGTATTCTTCGGAAAACAAGGCAACCCCAAAATGCAATGCATTAAAAACAGAAAATAATGCTAATTATAAATATATGGATTTATGAAATATAAGAAATACAAATATATTTAATAAAATATTATGTTTGTCTGATAGATAGATATTTATATCTAATGTATAAGTAAAAAAAAATAAAAAATAAAAAAAAATATATATACACACACATACACATTTATACATACATATACATATATACATATATATATATATATATATACACTATACACACATACGTAATTATATATGCATACGTATATATATATACGTTTTTTTATTGTTCGTTCGTATATACGTAAAAAAAGAAATATTCAGCAAAAAACATTTTGTTACAAATAAATGCTGTTCGTTTGAACTTTCTATTCATCAAAGAATCCTGGAAAAAAAGATCTGTAATAAGAAATTTATTTGAGCACCAAATCAGTATATTAGAAAGATTTCTGACGGATCATGTGACACTGAAGACTTGAGTAAAGGCTACTGAAAATTCAGCTTTATCATCATCTGAATAAATTACATAATGAAATGTGTTCAATTAGAAAACGGTTATTTTAAACTGTAATAATATTTCACAGTATTGCTATTCTTCTGTATTTTTTATTAAATGAATGCAGCCTGGGTGAGCATAAGAAACATAAGAGCATTAAAAAAAAATCTTACCGACTCCAGACTTTTAAAGTGTAGTGTATATAGACCGTTTTAGCCAAAATGTTGTGCTCACTATGTTTTGGAAAAGACCCACTTATTTGTGTCCAATCTCATTTGAGACTTGAGTGAATGTGGCGGCCTCAGCCAGTGTAGACAGATTTCACCTGCTCATGACAAAGACTAAAGGTCTCTCCTTCTTCTCTATTCAGTCTAATGGGAAGCAGTAAGGGGCTGACATTCTCTCCTCTCATTCATCCTCCTTCTGTCACCTTCTATCTATCTCTCGTTTGCTCTGCAGGAGGGGATGTTGACATTCCAGCATGGAGGAGGGTGGGATAACCCCCACCGAGACCATGACCCTTAGTAGAGGGGCACAGGATGAGAAACGCCCGCATTAGCCTCATCCTGCTTCCCCTGCCAATTATAATTTCTCAACACAGTGAAACCACCATGCCAAAATCTCCCATCGAGGCAGTATGGTGGATTCCATGCTAGAGGTTTGCCAGGAGAAAAAAAAACTGTGTTTTTTAGAAGCATTTTGACACCAAAACTTATGCATTATACACCAGCCTCTGTTTCAATACATTACTTGAAACACGGTGAGAGCCTGTAATGGTGTTAACTACCACACTGATGGGTGCAGGTGCATTATGTCCTGTTCCACAGCTGTAGATATAAACACCATATTGACTGCATCAAGTACCTTTTACACATTGAAATGCTCCGTTGTAATGGAAACTAAAAGCTGCAAATACTGCATAAACCCTATCATTAGCACTGCCATTTCAGTACACGGCTGATGAATTACTAGTGTAGTACATTTGCATCTCCGCCACTATTAGAGTATATATCGAGAATATAATACAGTAAGTGTCATAATATAAGACGTGATCTAACAGCAAATGTGAAGGCGAGGATAAACTGTTGTCTTGAGTGAGTGGTTTCCTCTGACTAAATCTATGGTCTTGAAGACAGCTGGAGTCCTATTGCACATGTAGGGAGCCAATGGTTGTTAATATAACAGATATGACACATTGATGGAGGGCCTGTTTCTCTGTGTGCATTTCACCCTTCCTTCACTAATGGAATTAAAAGACTATTGCTAGATCCCAGCCAGCTGGACGCAGCATACAGAAAACAACTTTGACATTCACGAAGATATACGCATGCACATGCATGCATACACAAATATGCATGGAAACATTAAGGCCTTTTTGCTCGAGGCACTGTTTTCACATTACACTGAAAAATAAAAACTTTTCAATGCGACTCAATTATAATACATTTGTCTGCTGTTTATTGTTTTATTTTACATTATGAAACTGACCCTGAAACTTTAAAATCTCTGAATGATTTCTGCTTATTTCACTCCTACTAACCTTCAAAAGTTTGAAAGAAACTTTCAAAAAGAAGTCTCTTATGCTCAACAAGGTGGAATTTATTTGATCAAAATACAGTAAAAACAGCAATACTGAGAAATATTATTGCTTTTTTTCAATTTTTTTATGCATTTTAAAATTTCATTTATTTTTGCAATGGCAAAGTAGAATTTTCAGAAGACTTGAGTCTTCAGTGTAACATGATGTTTCCGAAATTGTTCTAATATGCTGATTTGGTGCTCATTTTCAGTGTTAAAAACAGTTGTGCTGCTTAATATTTTTGTAGAAACCAATACTTTTTTAGGATTCTTTGATGAATAGAAAGTTCAAAAGAACAGTGTTTACTAAAAGTAGATGTTTGTTAAAAAGTATTTACGCTACTCAATTTGAGGCATCCTTGCTGAATAAAAGTACACATCTTTGGGGAGAAAAAAAAATCATACTTACCGCCAACCTTTTGAACCATAGTGTACATTAAGAAAAATGATTTGATAGGCAAAACCTACTTAAAGGATCACAATAAGATAATTGCAAGATGTTTGTAATGAGCCGTCAGATCCATTTGCAGCTTTATTAAGAAGGTTAATCAGAGTGCACACAGGCAGGGTCAATCTCCAGCAAAACAATATCCAAGGCAAAACAGTTTCAAAGTCAGTAGACAGGCAATAGGACGGGCCAGGCAGCTCAACAATCCAAAAGGGTCTGCGCTTAACGCGAAACTGTGCGTGTTGCGTTTATTCTGGGCTCACCTTCTTGCCTGTATATTAGTTATGTAGACTAAGTTCCATATTAAGTGTTTATGATTTTCTACAGGAGGAAAACGCTTAACGAGAGACAAGTGTCTGAGAGTGCAAGCCTGAGAATGCACATCTGAGAGTGCAAGCGCCAGCTGCAGCCAGACCCTTCTCCAACAATCACAAACAATGTCCAGGCAAAACCAACAGGCAGGCAGCACAGAATCAATAGTGAGAAAACAGTCCAGGATCATACACGAGAAAGGCAAACCAAATAAAGAACACTCAAAGTTGTCAGCTGTGGCAAGAACAAGACTTCACAATAAACAAGCTAAAGTGCACCACTTAAATAGTCCCGGTGCTGGGCAACAGGTGAGAAGGTAACGAGTTCCAGGTACGTGGGCTTGTGGGAAATGGAGTCCATGAACAGGGGTTAAAATTCAGGGTACTGGTGGTGAGCAGGAGGTACCTCAGGAGTTGAACTCATGACAATGTTGTTAGATCCTGAGATAATAAAATCTGTGAAAAATACAATTAGATACAACCACCATACCAAACAAGCTTGGAAGGCTGGCCAGAGGCCCTAAGCACCAAGTTTAAACACTAAGTTAACTCACAGAATCTGATTTCTGGCTTTCTGGTTCTTGAAATATTGTTAGGAAACATGACATAATGTAAATACCTGGAGATTTACGAGCAAAATGGTTTCCAGGGGGCAAGGCTGAGTCAAACGGGAATCTTTTAGCAGAACGCTAATCCAAATGATACCTATTCCAAAAATGTTTTTTTTATTTAAATAAGGTGAGAGTGCAATGCACAGCAGTCTAAAAGCTGTTATTTGCATTACAGAATTATATTTTTCTTTAAACAATTTTACCTCAGTGAAAGGTAAATGTTAATTGTGTTGCAAATATTAATAGAAGTTAAAATCCATGCAACAATTAAGGTTTTATAAGTCATGGGCACGTAATAATAAATGGCACTTTGATATTTATTGGTGATGGTATTCATCACATCATCTTGCTCTTTCTCCTTCTGTATATATTCATGAACAGAGTGTTTTAAATGTTTGCTAAGTTCAAAGCTTCTCTTTTTTTGTTTGCTTAATGGAGCATGTTCATTAAAGTATATCCATGCCTCTTTAACCACTAGCTGTCTTTGACTTTGTCAAAATATAGTTTAATGTAGTGGAATAAAATCAACACCTTCCACCCACTGCAACAAAGTGAGAGCTTGTTTAAAACTTTCCCTAACTAAATTTAGACCAAAAGCATGATTTCTCAGTGATGCACACACACACACACACACACAAATGTGTGAGGAACCGCTGGCGTTCTTCTGATTTTTTTTCCCACATTCACACCTATTTTTGCACTTGAACGTGCTCATGGTTTCTCTCTCCCTGTGCATTTATTTACTTAAGTTAAGTCACTGCATCACATTATTTTTGCAGTTGTATTTATCTCTAAGCTTTTTTTTAAATGAATTCTTGACCTCCAATCAACACTGGCAGTGGCTTAAAAACTTCTCAGAGTAAGGAGGCAACCTTATAAGGAGTTTAAATTATGTAGACTGGGAAGGAGTAGACTGGAAAGCCATTTTCAGTAAGAAGGTGTACAGCAAAACACTTCACTGTTGTAGTGGCATTATAGCCATTAATAATCAAAATCACTCTTCTAAACTGTTCGTTCTGGCGGTTCATTAAGCCAGTTCAAAAAACGAATAGGTTTTCATAACCTATGTGAGTATTTTAGATTTTATTTAAAGTGAAACGTTTAGTTAAATGCTGCTGTTCAAGACTATGTTTTTGACTAACACTGTATTCTTTTTTGTAAGTGTATTTTGAGTAATTCTGTTCAATTATCTCTTCAAGCAAGTAATTATCTTGTCAAGTTTAACTCGGTCATTAAAAATTCATTTTATGAGCAGCTTGTATCTTGGAAGGTTACATTTTCAAAGTGGCTTCAGTGCACAGTGTGATCTGGTGACAATTGAGGTCAACCAGAGTCTGTCATGGGGAGTCTACGTACCTATGATAACGACAGGCTTGGTGGGAAACACACAGATGAGCAGTCAGAGCAAGCTACAGAGCAGGTGGTCCGGGGTCAGGTAGGCTGGATACGGCAGACCTTCCACAGCTAATGAGGATCTTGGGGCCAAGGAAGAAATGGGAGAATATGCATTAGTAATGAAAAAGCAAAGCTGTTAGTTAATAGAATCTTCTGAAAACTGAAAACACTTGGAAAAAGCTGTGAAATTATTTAAGTATTTTAAAATGAAAACCTGGAAAGGCATATTATTCAATGAAGAATACATTACTTAGTCCAGTGGTTCCCAACCCTGGTCCTGGAGGCACCCCAGCACTGCACGTTTTGCATGTCTCCATAATCAAACACACCTGATTCAGGTCATCAGCTCATTAGTAGAGACTTCAAGACTTGAAATTGGTGTGTCAGAGAAAGGAGACATGCAAAATGTGCAGTGTTGGGGTGCCTCCAGGACCAGGGTTGGGATCCACTGACTTAGTCGATCCTCTGCAATGAATGGGTGCCGTCAGAAGGAGAGTTCAAACAGCTGATAAAATAATCACAGTAATCCACACAGCTATCACATATCCATCAATTAACATTGTGAGAAGTGAAAAGTTGCGTGTTTGTAAGAAACAAATGCATCATTAAGGTGTTTTAACTTTAAATGTAACTTCTGGCCACAATACGAGTCCATAATCCTTAATAACACTTCCTCCAGTGAAAAAAGTCCATCCACTGTTGTCCTCTCACATCAAAATCCACTGACATAGGTTAATGCTAAATTTCTCCAAATCTGTTCCGATGAAGAAACAAACTAATCTACTGTATGTCCTGGATGGCCTAATTAATGAGTATGAGATTTTCAGCAGATTGTCATTTTTGGATGAATTATTTCTTGAAGCGCATCCAACCAGAGTGAGCGTTTCACTGCAGGGAAGGAGGAAATATATTGTACACTCTGACTCTTTCTTGACCCAAGAAATTATAAAAAATGTGTTCTCATCTCATGCAGCCATATAAGTGATACAGTAGTAGAAACTTCAAGCTTGAGAGAAGAATATGAGTCTGTACAAGTTTCCCACTAACATCTTGGAAAACTTTGGGTTTTTAATGCCTTATTCAACATAAAATCTCACATGATAAATAGAATTATCTGATTGGAATACATGGATGATTATACATTTTCTTTTGGAATCATCACTGCAATAAACGAATATTTGGTAGTTATCAGTGTATTGGTGTTCATGTAAATGTACTCAATCTCTCCGTTTACTTCTTTCCACCCTCAATACCACGACTGAGGTGAGACCCTTCAACAAGGCATCGAACTCCAAACTGCTCCCGGGCGTGTGTGTGTGTGTACACTACTCACTGCTGTGTGAGTACTCTTGGATGGGTTAAATGCAGAGCACAAATTCAGAGTATGGGACACCATACTTAGCCAGACGTCACTTCACTTCACTTTTGTCATCAGGAGTCAAGTCCTTTCATGAGTCTGTATAATTCCTTAACACCATTTGCACTAAGGTTGCATCCAGCCTTCTCTGTTTTTCAAATAGAATGATCTGCATAGAGTTTAATCATCTGCCTCTCTAGGGGCTTTTCAGGCAAAGTCGTCATGTCTAGATTGTCATGGGCATCATGCTATTATATGGACTACTGAGTGTGTCATGTGGTGGAGTAATAAAGGACTGCACACATTCTCAGATCTCTGTGACATTACTCCGACAAAAAAAAAAACACACAAAGAGGACGTTTTGGGGGGAAAAACAGTACATGTTCAGGGGAAACCAGCAAGAGAATATAAGGAGCAACTGGAGTGAACAAAAAGACAGCATCATGGTTGGATGTATGAATGCAGCAGGTGTTCTCTCTAAGTGCTGCACAGACAGAAATGTTACTGTAACTCCACAAAAGTCCCCATTCATCACTCTCTCTCTTTCTCTTTTACTTTCTTTCCTCCCTTTGTTTATTTGACTACAAAAGCCAAATCCCTACTTTCTTATTTTCCATTTCCCTCCAGCTGATTGTAACTGCTTAATCAGATACCAATTCAAACCTGTCTCTTTGTGCCATACTTGTTTACTTAAAACATTGGGTCTCATTCATAGGTGTAGGTGTGCAATAGTCTATACTGCGTAAAATCTGCATACAACCGTTTTCATGTTGAAATCATGTTCTTCAATATGTACTCAAATTTATTTTTATTTATTTTTATGCTTATGATAAAATGTAGATTTAACCGAAACCGAAATGCATGTGCACATCAGCCTGTTGTGAATGCAGCATGAGAACTTTTAATGCGCACGTATTATTGTGCTGAAAGATTTATTGCTTTCTGAGGAGAACGAAGATAACAAAATGTATCAAAAGTCTTGAAGATGAAGTTCTTCATCTGTGCACGCACAAACATAATGTGCTATTATATCTGCATGAAAGATTAAGAGACAGCACAGACTCAACTGGTGATAAAGACCGAACAAAATTTATTAAAACCCAGAATGGCATCAAAAAAGATGATTTTTTTAAAGCCCACATTCAAAGCTTTTCAAAAACAGCCAGTAAAGCAACACTGGTTATTATTTAACGCAGGTATTTACTAATTTATTGAGATGTTTACCAGCTGTCTTTGTTTGTACTGATAAAATATTAAAGATAAAGCACTAATATATAATGCAGTGTTTAAAGAAACAGTTTTATAAACCTTGTGTTTTAACTGTGATGATTTCCAAGAGGCTGGAAAACAAAGAGAGAAAGAGAAACATAAAATTAAACAAGGAATCATAGCAACCAAATATTATCTCTAAAAACAAGCCATAAATGTTGATGTTTATCTTAAAAGATCTTGTCTCGTAGGGCTTGATTGACGTCTGCAGTCTTCATAATGTTCACATTTACATTTATGTTTGTAAAAGGTCTAAAACTGAATTATGTTTATTTGGCTTTCCATATTTGCCTGCATTTAAAAGATCGCACTAAAAGTCATGAGAAACCCCAGATCCACCTTGACATGTTACCGCATTAATCAATAGACTAAGCAGGACTGATTTGTTTAGATTTTACTTTGGCAAGCAGGTTTTGGTGGATGATGGGATGCAATAAATACTTTCAAAGGCTCCTTCACATGAAGGAGTGGATCGATCACATCCAAACCTGAGCTAAAACAAGAAGCATGTGTGTTAAAGTGCAACAGAGAAGCTCTTACTGCAAAATCAAAGAGACTCCAAATGACAATTTCAGGATGGAAAATTAGGTTGCTTAGGCTGGTCCTGTTGCCTAGGTGATTTTTTTTTTGGGAGCTTGCTTTTGGATTTTGCCAGTGTTTGGCAGATATAAGGTGGCAGTGTGTCTGTGATTCCCAAAAAGCTTATGCCGAGTTCACACTGCACGATCGAACGCGATTTTTACTGGGGGACCCCCTCGAAAGCAATTGGGCTATTTTCAAGCTAGTTTTGAGTAATAATTGGGCAGGTTTTGTAGCGAAAACCTGGCAACCCTGCACCAGACAGAGTTATCGGTGATTCTTCCTATTGTAAAGTCATGCAGTGTGTAACCTCCTGTCGTCGTTCCATGCAGTGTGAACACAGCAACAACTGAATGCTACCCCAGATAGTCGTTCGGTGTGAAACCAACAGTGATGCGACGTCTTTGAAAATCGTGCAGTGTGAACTCGGCATTAGCGTGTCTCCTCACAGCGTCCTTGCCATCCATCAGTATTCATCTGCTCTGGGCTTCTGCAAAGCACTTACTGAGCTATCAGTCAAGGCAGGAGCGGGATGGAGTGATCCCGACACCTATGATTTAGTGCATTCTCTCAGTGAGTCTCGAGTAATGCATTCCTCTAATTTCTAACCCTTACATGCAATTAGTTGCTAGAATTACATAATTGCTTTCACCATGGGCACATTAATTATTAAAATTACCCTAAAATATAAAGGACATGAGATAATTGTAGTAATGAAAGCCTCGGTGACATAAGAAACTCAAGAAGATCTTTGTGTGTGTGTGTGTGTGTGTGTGTGGTCTTGGTATTCCCTACATTATGGGGACCGAATGTCACCACAAAGATAGTAATAGTACCTTTTTTTTTTTTTTTGGTCCCCATGAGGAAACAAGCTTATAAATTATACAGAATTACGTTTTTTGAAAATCTAAAATAGCAGAAAGTTTAGTGTGAGGGGTCGGTTTAGGCTAAAGGGATAGAAAATTGAACTTTACTTAAGTATACTTACTAAAATAAACTTGAAGTATACTACTTTTTGGTAAGGGCACACAGATCATACAGACATTCTTTTATCGCTCAGACAAACTTTATAGCGCTGCCCCACAATTTTATCAGTAACGTTGCTTAATCGCTGAAGAGCTACATTATCTTTCTCAACAAGAAGCTGGTAACATCGTCGTTTCTCA